CGCGTTCAAATGATTAAATAAATGCTTAAAGATCAGTCGTTCAAAAACTTTTTCCATAGTGTTGAGCAGTGAAATTGGTCTATAATTAGAAGGGAGAGATGCATCACCTTTTTTAAAGATAGCAGTAACATGGGCTTCCTTCCAAGAAGCTGGTACTTTACAGCAAGATAGAGACTGATTAAACAGATTAGTTAAAGGAATAGAGAGTTCTTTTGCGGCTTCACGCAAAATTTTATTACTAATACCATCTGGTCCAGATGTTTTGTCGACTTTAAGAGATTTAAGAATATCTTCAGTTTCAGATGCATTTAGTAAAAGATCGTAAATAGCAGTGGACGTTGTTTGTGGACCTAGGTCAGGAACATATGAGTCAGAATTATCAATATAGGTTTGATGTAAGAAATACTCGTTCAATAGGTTTGCCTTTTGGTCTTCAGAGAATACAATTTCCTGGGTGTTTTGATTTTGTAATGGGGGAATTGACGTTGTCTGTGTATGTGAGATAAAAGATTTTAATACTTTCCACCAGTCTTTTGAAGATAACGATTCCTGTTTTAGTTTGTCCGATAATTTAGAGTAATAAATAGCTTTCGCCTCTTTAATCTGAGATACTATTTGATTTCTTAATTGTTTAAATTTCACCCAGTGCATATTGGATTGAGTTAATTTGGCTTTTCTGTACAATCGTTTACGTCTACGAATATTTGACCTGATAGTATTTGTTATCCATGGGGCATCTAGAGGTCTTACATATATATCCTTATTTGGTATATTATATTTAGAGATTATTAAAATTTGATTTGAAACGTTGTATTTACTGATATTGAAATCGAAACATTCTTCCCATTGGAAACTGTTAAAATCATTTTGAAGCTTGACGTAATCACCACGATTGTATTCCCATATAGTGCGTTGAAAGCATTGTTGTTTTGGTTTACGGAATTTAAAAAGACAAAAAACTGGAACATGGTAACGCTGTTCTTGGTCAAGGATGTGTTCGCCTACTCCAGATTTGATAATAGTATTTTTATTTGAAACAAAAATGAGATCGATCAATGACTGACTCGATTCTGTGAAAGAGTTGATTCTTCAATTATTTGTTCCATATTGAATTGTTGACAAATTGAAAGAATTTTTCTATTTGTGTTAGTATTAAATGCGTCATAGTTAAAATCGCCTGTAACAATGATATCATTAATATCCGTGTCAACAGCTAATGAGATAGTGTCTTCAATATCATTATTGTTAAGTGTGTTGTGTATTTAACATCTGTTTGACTTTAGAATTAATCAATTTTACACTTTTGAAAATTTCAAAACAATTTATCAAATCCCTGATAGAGATTACCTCAAATAACATACTTAAATAAGAAATATACATCCTGACGTCATTACAGGTATCAATCTAGACAACGTCAATATCAATACCCCAAATTGAAATATTTTAGCGTCATTTATTAAAACAAATGAAACCAATAAATTTCTATATGAACATCAGTTAAAACGAGATAACATTATCAAGAATACTGCAGAAAATAAGTGGAATATATTTGAAAACGAAAATATATGTTAGAAAAAACATACAAAAACAGTCTATCAACAACGATTGACAATAAGTTTAGAAAATTTTCAATATAAATATCTACACAGAATAATTGCTACAAACAAAAGTCTTCTACAACAAGTCTTTCCTAATTTGCAGGTGAACGTTCTTCTTCTAGGAATTTTTTTAAAAATATATAAATGAATGAAAACGAATACGGCATCATTGTAGACCACAACGATATTCGAAATCCGGGGTTTAGTATTGCCAATAAAGCTAAGGGACAAGCTGTTAAACTGAGCCTGCAAATTCGTGAAAATAACATCACAATGCACATGCTTTTTACATAAAGCTATTAAATACAAATATAACAACATATTTGTTATTTGATTTTTACGAATCAAAATAAAACTAATTAACAAAACATGACATTAACTGTTAATAATAACAGCTCCTTCCATAGGCCAAATTAAAAAGTATCCCATAAGGGACGACGCCGCTCATCGGCGTCGCAAATAAATTCTCTCTATACTGACAAGTAGAGATTTTGATGCTAAAGCATCAAGTCGCCGGAAATAAATATGATTGTATTATCATAAATAAAAGAAAATATCAGTTTAATGGTTCGAGTATAAAGAAAAGAGGAACGATAAGTTGAGTAGTGTTTATTCATAAACACGTTTTCATGTACTTGCCACAATTATATCTTTCTTGCTATAAACTTTGTAAAAGAGTTTTATGCAATAAATTTATGTTATGTTATAATAAAACATCATATTTGAAGCAGGCTTGCTTAGCAATTTTGACAAGAAACTGTTATCATTATTAAATAAGCAAGTATTGTTTGGCAATATTTAACCGAGACTCAATAATTTTCGGGAGCTGTTTCGTAAGCTTACATAACTTATTATGATTAATGTTAACGATTTTATTGTAAGTATAATTACATGTATAATTATATCAATTAATACTGCTCGATGGCCTAGTGGTAAGTATGACGAAGTTGTAACCTACATAAAAAAATTAGTAGGTGCAAGTTCGAATCTTGGACAAATCCTGTGTGTAGTTTTCATAAATTGATTTTTATTATATATTTTAACTTTATGAAACATAAGTTGATAAATTGTGTGTTTCATTTCTAGCACTTTTTATTTCATAATTTTGATAAATGGTCAAGTTTTGCAAAATACAAAAAGTATTATAAAAGAAAACATAAAAAATCACTTTTTCGAACCTACAGTCTTCAATTTGAAACTAACTTAGAATCTAACACCTTGTCATTGAGGCTTGTAAAGCAAGTGATATGATTATAATTCTACTTGTAATTATGTACCATATACATTTGAACTCCATATGGTTAACTTCAGAATCCGATAATTACCGACAAATTATTACCGATCATCGAATATTTGCTAAGTGGCTTTGAAAATATATATGCTTAATTATTGCATAAAGCAATGCAATTCTACTGTAAAAGTGGTATCTGCATAAAAAATTATTCTTATGCACTATCGAAAAAAATATATACTATTTAGCTGAAATCAATATTCCTGTCGTTAGTCGTTACATACGATATAGTTAACGTTTAATTGCCTTTCAGTGCGATAAACTATCAACACAAAGATAGTTTATTAGTTTTCTCTGTGTATCCAATACGATTCCGGCCTCTACTGTACTTTGATTCCACTTTTATCAGCTGCCAACCATTCACAAGTTACCTGTATGTCTGTCTTATCAGCTATTTGTTACTATTGATAGATAGATAGATATTTATTCAGGTTAAAACACCAAATAACATAAATTTTATAACAATAACATACAAGGTGTAGCCACAAGATTCTGGGAGAAGCTGTTTTAAATAAATAAGATAAAAAAATATAGAATAGGTCTCATAACATACAAACAACCAGATAATTTAAAAGTGTCATTTCAAATATCATGCATGATTTATTTATCATAAAATAGCAACGCTTGACACTTTGAAAAAAAGGAAAAACATCCCTAAATTCAATGACTTATCCAAAGGGATACGTCATTAATTCATTTTATAAAAAATGTAATGTTGCTTTTTACGATGTCAGTATTTAAATATTTCATTTCATTGAGCAACATTATGGTATGTTTGAATTTTTGAGATTACTGAAAACAATTGTTGTCTTTAATTGTTCAGTAATTGTTATGCTTTTATTTACAGATTGTAATGCCTTCTCCTACTATAGGTATAATATTAAACTGCTACAAATATAGTCGCCGGTTTTTACCGGCGACTAATTACGCACGCTACGCTACTGCAACTACTTTCTGTCCTCTCTGAATGTTATGGACACATTTTGACCCAGAAACAAGTAAATTTTCATTCTTAAGAAAGAGCCAACATTACGTTTATAAAGTTAAATAAAGCTTTTAGAGAATGTCAGGTGATTATCACCTCAGAAAAGTGGCGCTGAATGTGAACTTATTTGTTATAAAGTAGAAAAAATATAAGCAAATCGGTGTTTTGATTTACATACAATACACTTGAACACTCTTACAATACTAACATACTAACTGACAAATTGTTACAAAAACAAAACATTATGACAGTCTATAGGTCCTTATATGATTATGCTCGTGAGATACGGTAAAAGAAGCATTTTTAAGAAACGCAAAATTATCTTTATACAACGTTAAATTCAGGTATTAGATATCTAATTGACAATGCGTCAATGGTCTAGTCACAAAAAAATGCATTAAACTTTATCGCTTTTTTACACAAATACGAAAAAAGCAAAGGTTTACCATCTTGTTTGAAAAATATTAATAATGCAAGTAAATCTTTGCATTAGTTTTATAGATCAACAACACCAAGTATGATTTCATCAGTCAAAGATAAGTTTTATCTGTATCTAACTTTAGTTGTTGTATGAAACAACCATAAATTTGATTTCAAACAAACCAAAGCATAAATGCATATCTGAACAGAATGCAAACGCTCATTAAAATAAGTATTTGTTGAACAAGTAGAAATGAGCGCTTATATTGTTCATATATCAATGGGGGCATTGTCATAGTTCAGAAACAGTTCTTATCAGTTGTGCAAAAATTAAGGACTGTTTACCATCTTGAGTTGGACATTTTAACAATTTAATTTGTGATACTACCTTCTTTTCACTCATTTTAAACTAAACAGTACATAATTATTATTCAATTCAACTCTGTTTTCATACACACTTCTAAACCTTTATTTTTTATGCATATTATTTCATTAAATCCATCCATAACTTGTAGGTAAATATTTGAATGCACCGTATTCGATTCAATGCACAAATTAAATTCCCCGTTATGAAATTGGAACGTAGAAAGAAAAAACGATCCTTGCAAACGTATCCATTTAAAAAATTCATTGTATGTACATGTGTGTTTTATAATCTATACATACATGCATGTCACATTGAAAAGTGGAAAGAAGACGAGATTACCCTGTTCTTGTATTCCTTGAGGTGATCCTTATCCGTGCCAAAATATAAACTGAAAGTGGTCCATCTATCATGATCTCTGGAAAAGGATACACCAACTCCTTCTATTTTTGTTAATGAAATTAGATCCACCTAGATGAATTAAGATAATTTGTACTGAAATAAGTGTGTTGACTATTGCTGATGCATCTCAATTTAAAAAGAATCTGGTCCATGATAGAAGATTTCTTATACCATAACATAATTATGTTTAAAATATTTTGCATCGCATGTGAGAAAAACAAGACATATAGGGATGTTGTTTGTCAGTGTAAGATACACGACCCAGGGGAAAATTTCAATTTGTAGCAGATAATTAACATTTCTACAACAAAAAATTATTATTCATAACATTTATTTATGATAAATTACTTAAGAACGACATTTGTTTTTCCAGTAATAATTCATGAAATTATTCAAATTTAACATTTTAATTGTTTTTATCAATATTTGAAACGCTTACCAAAAATGTGCTTATTATAGAACAATGCATTTTAAAGATACGCTACCTTAATCCTGTATGCTACATGTATTACCAACTAACAAAAATAGTGCAAGTATGGCATTGAAATAGTTAATATTCCTGTGAAATTATTAACTGTGAAATATATTGTTTAGTTATACAATCGTGTGACGAAAGTTGGAATCATATTCATATCATTATCCGCCAGTTGGCTCGACTTGCTTGTACATTATTGTCAAGAAACGAAAGATTCGTCTACATGGTATATGAATTTGTATTTGAAACTTAAAAAGAGGTGATGTTGAATTCTACCTACATATTTTTGCATTGCTATATAATGAGCAAATTTTCGGTCGGTTTATAGATTCTGAAATACGTTTTTCATACAGACAACAAAATTTAAGAAAATATCTTTTACACGGGGAATTTCATTATCGAAAACATTAATTTATCCAGTTATTTTAATTTATAAAAAAGCATTATATCAACCTGGCATAATTTAAGAATATATATTAACTAATTATTAGCCATTGGGAACATTGCTTCATATAGTTATTATTTTAATAGAAAATATACATCGACATACTTAGGAAACCTTTTTTTTAGTTAAATCATGAATAATCATTAATCTATGAACACATTATCATTGTTATCAGTTCAATTTAGTATACAAAAAGTACTTAAGAATGAAATCAACAAACCAATATCCAAGGTGTCAGGTCTGTTAAGTTCTGAACCCAACAAATAATCCTGGACCTCTCTTCTTGGACCTCATCTTGTACCTCATCTTGGACCTCATCTTGGACCTCATCTTGTACCTCATTTTGGACCTCATTTTGAAAATATTTCGTTTCTTTTTTATATCCCATGTTGTAACGGTGTCTTCTTGCCTTGTGCTTTCGATGTCTTTGAAACATATAGGGCTTGTTAAAAAAAAAATCCCTATCAGAAAAACGTTTAACTCGAGAATATGAAATATAACTGCCCGATACCTGGGTCTCTTGTACATCAATACTTTCAAAACATGGCTCACCGTTTTCTAAAAGTAGGAGAAATAAATATAAAAATAAACTGAATCAGAAAAACAAGAATTTCACAAATATACTTGTATAATAGACTTAACTAGCTTATATCCGAATGTATGGTAGCACAGATGTTACATTTGCAGTATTATTTTACCTTTTGGCCATAATTTTTTATGTGATAATAAGATTATACCTTGAGGCTACAAGATAATAAGTGGTGAACACAAGTTAATTAGTCGTGGTCACAAGACAAAATAATACTGAAAATGTCACCTCTGTGTCACCATAAGAATGTCACATCACATAATAATGGTTTATTGAAGGACTATATTCATTTAATAGTAATAACTTCTTTTTATAAATATTACTTTTTTTGTATACGTTTGTAACATGAAGCAGACGAGTGTTCCCTGTATGATGTAATTAAGGATGTAACATGGATAAAAGTGAATTTTTGTATATGTTTATAATTATACTTCTTTATTTCATGCTTTCCAGTGTTTTATTGTAATATATCAGTTGATTACATTCTGATAAACCACTAATGAAATTTATAAAATATATTTTTCACTGTAGCTGGACTATATCTGAATGCGGATAAAAAGAAAATTTAAATAAACGGAATAACAGGCAGAAATAAATGCCGTCATATGTTAATTTATTTTGCTTCTTTAGGAAAAGAAAGTCGATGTCACCAAAGACCATGATAAAAATGTAACAAAATTAGAGAAATTGTACAGAACTATATTTCAAAATTGTTGATGTGACGTCATGATGTGATGACGTCACAAAGGAGAATGCGCGAAATCAGTAAAAAAAAACCTTAAAATCACTTAAAAAGCATGAAATAAAAAGAAAATTTATTTGTTTTACATATAAGTTTGAAATATATTACATTCGTGAACACCAGCTATTATATTTTCACTCGTGGCTACGCCACTCGTGAAAATATTATATCTGGTGTTCACTCAGTGAAATTATATTTTAATCTTACATGCAAAACAAACAATTATCCTCTAAAAAACAATTTCATCACATCCATTATGTTAAACATTTACAGCAAATGTTTGTATACATTATAATTAAATGTTAAACTAAGCATTCATTTTTTATTGAAAAGAAAAACTGGCTTAGATTGTATCTAAAATAAATTCTTATTACCTCCCTTAATTTACATGAAATAATTAAGTCGGAAATATCTTTACAAATAATGCTTTTTGAAATATACAAAATTGATAAGTTTTCATTTGAGCATCAGATTTATGACATAAAACCATTAAAAATTTGCGCGTCAATGTCTTTAACATCTAATAAGTAAATAAGTGACCCAGTTAGCAGTATAAAAGACACATTATGCCTAAGAATTAAAAAAGTTTTTACTTATTTAGAAAGGGTTTACGTGAATTTTATAATGTCTCTATAACCGTTCAGAGAATGCTACATGCTTTATTTTTGAAGAAAATAGCATAAATGTGAATCATTTTGTCATGAACAAAGTAGTATTTTGACTTCAATACAGAATACTCATTCACTGTAACTGTACTTATTGCCCAAACAGCTTCAGATGAAAAAGACGGTTCAGGTAATGGGCCAATGAATAACTTTTAGGATACTATAAAAGTACACCAATATTACAAAACTTTGGAGAAATAAAACTTAAATAATTTCTTAGCCATTACGGCCTTTAAGTGAATTGGTCAATAAAGGAAGGTATGTAATAACATAAACAATCATGTAAATAGTATTAAGTATTGTACGTGACAACAAACCACGAACACATTATATATGAATATTGTTGGCAAGTGTCATATTTTACATATCATAGCAAATAATAAATTGTAAAAAAATATATTATTATTTCTTAACAGTATCACTGTTTTATATACTTAATATCACTAAAACTTTCAATATTATCCCAACGAAATATGTTATAAGAATATCAAAATGATGCATTTCTATTAATTTTATCAATATTTGAATTACACATGTACATATGGAAGATGTTCCCATTGCAAACCAATCAACTTTAATACTAATGTTCTAGCATGTAAGAACATGGTATAGTAAAAACATCACCCTACACAAAATACTCTGTCTTTTTTTATTTTTAGATAGTATACGTACGTGCGTCTATACTTGATATAAATATCTTATACGACACTTTCTCGTATATCCTTTTATCGAAGTTAAACCTGAAAAATCGACCTCGTGTCCTCCTGAAATTTGACGATTTAATAATATAAAACTTAATATCGTTTAAGAGTCATGATAGCCATTTTTTTAAGATGTTTAAATAATACAGACCAGTCGTAATAAAAATTTGGTAAAACTTATTTCTTCAAAAATGTTTTCTCGATTAAGTAAATTATTAACATTTTGAGAAAAAAGGTCCTCCTTCTTGCAGAGTTCTGAAAAGTCAATAATAAAAGTCGATATTAAAATGTGTCGCCTAAATAACACCATACTTTTATGTTATGCACTGCCGGTTACGTCACATTAATTATATGTTCGTTGAAAGATCTAAAGTTACTTCAATTTTAGCATTCCTAATGCAAAGACGAGTAATTTTAGTCATTTTTATATTCTGCTTTATAAATGATAAGGGAAAATATGTGTGTGGATAAATATCATTATCCACCAAGCAGTCGATTATGCAGATGACAAAAGATGTCATATAATTTTGCGATTTTAAACATAATTTGTAACGTAAATTATAATTAAAAGGGTGTTTCTCTTTCTCTCACTGTTATACTTTCTTTTCTTTTGTGCAGTTATCTAAAATGACGCAGAAATGACAATATATTTTTAGTATTATAAAAATGTATATGCACAAGTTTTATTTTTTTATTTTCTACATTGTTCTATGGAAGCGTATTGTGATCAAAATCACGAAAGTGAAAGGCTTTCTTGAAATGTTAAATTTGACTTATTTCAAAGAGGTGTCATGTTTTATGAATTGTCGGAATCGTAATTAAATCAAACAATATGTTAACTTCATGTAAATAATAAAACGTATTTTGTAAAATATTATGCATTTCTAAACGAAACCTATATATTGCAGTATATAACATGAAAATAGAAAGCGTATCCAAACATGGTGATATCAAGCTAAAACTACTGCCTATTAGTCAGGAGGTTGTAACTGGTACTTAATATATCACTTTTACTTCTTAAGAAAGTTTGATATCTTATGTTTATAACATTTTGTTATTCTATCAATCTAGACAATTTGGATAAGTCTGATAATCTAATTCTATTGTCAAAATAGAATAGATTTCATCTACCCAAATATTTAAAAAAACAAAATTTACTTAGTTTTAAGGATGGGATATTCGGAAAGAAAAATAAAATGAAGTGTTAACAGACCATACTTCAAAATTGCATTTGATATAGATTTTAATCTGATCTATTCCCTTCTTAAACCATTTACAGGTGTAGTTATCTTTTAAATATATTAAATTTGTCTCAAGTGTTTTCTTCCGGAATGCTGTTGTTTAGCTTGATAATCTACCCTCATGATACCATAGCCAGTTGTATATATATATTTAATTAATGTTTTCCATGTTGATTTCAGCATTTATAGAAGAATTGTTGCGTAATTAGTTAGAAGATAGATGTGCACGTGACTACTTCACAAATGGGGATCGATTTTGAGAGGAAAATGGCATTTTAGATACTGTATTCCTAGAAATGTTCGCGGATACAATATTTCGCGTTTTTCACAACGTCGGCATTTTCGCGGAGACAAACTTTCGCGGAAATGTAGTAACCGCGAATTCCGCGAATGTTAAGTCGCTACGGCCTAAATCACAGTTTTTGGAGGCTACGTTTTTTATGCATGACCTTGCCTGTTGGGTGCTTTTAATTATTTTTTTTCTTGACAAGTCGCGCCTAAAGCGCAACGTTACTCGATACATTTTCATCTATTGACTAGTCGAACAAGGTCGGTTGTTCCGTGAACAAATTCATATTTCCATACCTTTTCCATTATGTTATTAAGTAAGATTTAGTCAGACCCGTCTTAGCTTTGACTCTTATTTGAATCATAACTGACTTTATCTTCAAAATGTCGATACGTTTTTTTTACACATTTTTACACATTATCGGACTGTACGTAGCTTTCATTATAACATGTAGCACTTGATCGCTATTGTACTTTCAACGGCCTAAATCACAGTTTTTGGAGGCTACGTTTTTTATGCATGACCTTGCCTGTTGGGTGCTTTTAATTATTTTTTTTCTTGACAAGTCGCGCCTAAAGCGCAACGTTACTCGATACATTTTCATCTATTGACTAGTCGAACAAGGTCGGTTGTTCCGTGAACAAATTCATATTTCCATACCTTTTCCATTATGTTATTAAGTAAGATTTAGTCAGACCCGTCTTAGCTTTGACTCTTATTTGAATCATAACTGACTTTATCTTCAAAATGTCGATACGTTTTTTTTACACATTTTTACACATTATCGGACTGTACGTAGCTTTCATTATAACATGTAGCACTTGATCGCTATTGTACTTTTAACAAAGGATTACACCTACTCCAAACAAATAAAATCCAAGTCATGCAATGTTCGCAAACTGTAAATGCGTTTGTCAACGCCGTGACTAGCAAATAACGTCAATAAGCATGTTAATTACTAATAATTGATTTTTTTCTTTTTCAGCGTGCAAACTAGTATCAATAACATACATAAATAATTCTTTACACATTTCTATAACACCTGTGTTTATATGTTGTTTTGTGTAAGTAGATTATAATAAATATTCTGCACTTTTTACATTTTTATGATATATTTGGTTGGAGCTAGAAATGTTCGCGGATTTGTTATAAGTGACATATTCGCGGCTATAAAGATTCGCGGAATCATGCCTACCGCGAAAACCGCTAACTTAAAATGCGCGAAATCTTTTCTAGGAATACAGTATATCTTATTGAATGAATGTGAACAAAATAATTTGGTGTCTTTCAGGTGGGTTAATACAACAGAAAGTGATATACCAATACAAATTTACATCATTATCTCACAGCATTATTAACGATATACTAATTGCACATACAAAATGGTTTACTCATACCAACATTATCTAAAGCAAGGCGTTCCCCTATTATGTCATTTCAATACTATCATTTTGATAATGTTTTTGGATTTTTATATATCTTATTTTCAGAGGAAATGTTAAACATCGTATATTAGTATATGGGAATTTTGATTACAAAAAAGTCAATATTTAGCGAGAGGTGACAGCATGAGGCCCGGCCTTATTCGTTTTGTCGAACATAAATTGATACGCTGATTGGATGTTTCAAGAGTTTTCCATTTTCAAGTTAAGAGAAACTAAATAGGCCCTGTTTGAAAATATCTAGCATTTTTTAAAAACACATAAACAGGTAAATCAAAGAAAACTGTTTATATTCTAAATACACTTTTGCTGTAACAGATTAAGTTTCGTGTGCTGCTGTATAGATAATCTTTCTACAAGGAATCCACACGTGAAAAAGCTAAATCTTTTTCTTTTAAAAGTGTTTTATGTTTAGTGTACTCTTAAAATTTTCAAAAACAGTACATTTCTCATTGACTAAAATATTACTCATCTTTTACTTTTACATTCTGGGAGTAAGTAAAATGATAAGAGATTTTTTGTTGGTTTTCGTGTGCCTTCAACACTTTACAGGTCATATAATAACTTTCAAGATTTACTGGTGTCATGGAATACGTTAAGTGTGTCTTATGTGTTTTTTTAATCGACTACAACCACCAATATTTAATAAACTAGTTGGTGATAGCTATGTCACATAAAAGACTCCAAAACCTAGGCAGTACTCGAACCTACAGTGGTAAGAAGGAAGTGTTTTGAAGTCAGGGACCTTAAACACTCGACCAAAATTGACGATTAAGTTTTTGTATGGAAGCCAAGGTGCCATTTTTGGCACATTATAATGTTTCACAGTCAGTGCTTCTTTTACGTGATAGGTTATTTACACACTTTAATTCAGTTATGACAATATATTATGATATATGATTACTAAAGAAAAAATGTATCCATTGCAAAGGCTTAACGTGCCTCATTTATGTATCATAATGACTTATTTGTAGGTTATTAATATACATGTAGAAGAATAAATCAAAACACAATCCTACTTTACACTATAGTATCTGCATTTTCAGTTTTACATAAAATTATTCGCTTATTTTAATTATTATCTTATGTTGTAACAACTTTTAAAGATGCAATACACGTGTCTCTGTGAAAAGGGATCAATAGCACCGACTGCGAAAGTGGAGACATAAGTTTAGCATTGTACATTGGCAGGGCAATATGCATATGTGTAGTGTTGTCCGACTTTATGGATATGATAAAATAAAATTGAATTTTTTTCAGTGTATTAACGTGAAGAAGATTCATTTTATTTTAAAATGTCTTTTTATAATAAATTTTATACATACATTTTATATTTAATAAATTTTCAGAAAAGTAATGCAAATACAATGTTTATTTTAAATGATAATAATGTATAATTATTTGTTTAAAATGCATTGGCATATTGTATTAAAATATCAACTTGGAAAGATTCTTACAGCTACCTTTCTTAGTAGAGCTAAATTATTAGAACATTTCATGGAATCTCACTTAAAGTAAAAAAAGAGAAGATCTAAACATTAATGGGTGGGCTAATGTTTCATACTAGTATGAATGATAATGTATAAATTATGTAGTGTTGCGGCTTTTTTATGTAATGAACTTTTGTAAGTGTTTTAGATTGAATAAAACATGCTTGTGTTATTATGTGTTACTTTTTAATGACCATATTTCCGTAGTGTAAGTTAAAACTCACATGATTTCAATACGTGACATTTTAAGCATTTTACACTTCGAATTTTTTGAGGACCTTTTTCTGTAGCAACAAATATATAATAGTTAACAAATATGCAAATTTCTTTTTGAAGGACTTCGTTTGAGGTTGGGTCCTATTTATTGCTGAAATGCTATATTCTTAAACCCGTATCATTAATTTTGCTATTACATTGAGCTTACGTTAAAGCAGCCTTCATCTTTTCTAAAGGTTAAATATGTTATTCTTAGATACATCGTTTCATATAATTGTAAAACCAAAGGAATTAAGGTGGTAAACGAAAAACTATAATCTATATACCTCCGCTCTCTTTAGTAATATAATGCACTTGCCCAAGATAAAGTTACTGAAATACTTAG